GAATCTATTGTCTCTTTAACATATATAGCTATTCCTCTTTTTTTTGTTGTGCTGATGCAAAATAGAGTTTCCTAATTTTTGAGTATTCCAAAAGTTTATAATATTGTTTTTTATGTGTCTCTTGCAGACAAATTATATCAATATTTAATTTCTGTAATTCTTTAAAGATTCTGTTCCTTTTTGATGGGGAATTCAGTCCATTTATATTCACTGAAAAAAATTCTGTTTTCCTTCTCCATTTTATTGACTTATATTTAGGTCTTGTCTATCTCGTAGTCCTCTGCTGTCTTGCCATTCCCTCACCCTATTGATCTGCCTTCTCTTTCTCTTCTTCTATTTGTGTAATTGTTTCCTCTGTTGTTTGTTCTGTCTGTTTCTGGCCTTTTCTATCCTCTTGTTGATGTTGTACTCTTTCATCCAGGAATGTTCTGTTCCTTTCATCAAAATCTTCTGTCTCCCAAACTGAATCCAGTCGATATCTTGTATTGTTCCAGTTGATTAAGATCCCTTCTGGCATTAACCATCTAAAGTTTACACCTTTTGCAATTAGCTTTGTAGTCAAAAAGTGATATTGTTTTCAGATGTCCCTTATTTTCTTAGGAATCTGCTTCAACACCACAGTTTCTTTGTTTTTATATTGTAATGGGTCATCCCTAACTCTTCTCAGTATCTCATCTCTTATTGTTTTCTTTACAAATCTTACATGAACTTCTCTAGACAATTTGTGTTTCCTCACATAGCTTGAATTCATTCATCCACTTCCATCTGTATCTCTTCTGTAATCACTTCTGCTATATCTTCCTCCTTATCTTCAGGTATATTTTGAAATCTTAAATAGTGTACAGCTTTCTCCATTTCCAAGACTGCAACTGCTCCTTCTAAGCTTTGACTTGCTTGTTCTAGCCCTGTATTTTCTTCCATTAATGCCTCCATTTTTATCAGTTTCTTCTGATTTATCTTCCATTTTCTGAATTCTTTGTTCATTTTTGGCAATCATTTGTTGATGGGCATCAAATTGTGTCTTTAATTCAAGCATTTGCTCATTTAGCTTATCTAAGTTGTTTTTTTAGGTCTTCATGATTTTTCTGTATTGTTTCTTGAATTAGCTGTAGTGTGGCTTGCATCTCCTTTTGAAAGCTGTTTGTTTTTTCTCATTGTAACATTGTTTCAATAGATCCCTGACTTGCTGGGCTAGATGTTCCAGAAGAGGGTGCAGAAGAGGTTTTTGTGATTTTCGTGAGATTTGGTGCACTCATTTTTCAATTGAGCAGGTTTTGTAAATCTACAAAGAGAAAAGGAAAAAGAAAAAAAAGCCAACTGCCTTAGGCTATAATCCAACCGTGAAACAAGCCAACTGCTTTAGACTAATCCAAATTTTAGTTTAAAGATGTAAAAAGCCCTCTATTTCCAAATAGTTTCTATTGTGGTTATATCCAGGGTCAAAAGATATGATTGTAAAAAGTCTTTTCTAGCACAGTCACATAAAGTTCTTTTTGTTTACAGCAGGTGTTAATTCAAGGTCAGCAATTTCTCCAATTCTTTTGGTGTTATTGTAGTATCTCCTCTCACCACTAGATGTCCTTATTTACTGTATTGTCTATATCCAGGTTTTAAAACGTTCTTTTTAAAATGCTTTCTTACAGAAAATAAATTTAAAAAATTTCCCATGTCATAAAGGTTAGCCAAATTTTCTTTAAACCAATCCTAGTTTCATTTTTGTATATTCTTTTGTATTCCTTAATTTCGTTCCCCCATTTAATTTTTTTTTATTAAAACAAGTTTTATTGATTTTTTTTTTTACAAGGTGCTTGAGAAACAACGTGGTGACAGGGTAATCAATTATCCAAAAGCGAAATCGTACATATGTAACTCAGATTAAATCATTAAAGACTCCCTCTCTATTTCCCTCAAATAATATAATATATTCAAATTAATATTTTTCAATAAAGTTCAATCAACCAAAACAATCATCAATAACATTTCATCTATATAAATCCAAATCCTGTTTTAAGCTTTACTATTTACAATTACCATATTCCAATTTGGTTTAGATAAACATATTATTAACACTTCAGGTGTCTCTCCTTTCCCTTTTTCCTTAACATAATCCTTATCTCTAAAATACACATATTATTTCAACCATAACATTCTTATATTTTCTACAGGTATTCTATTTTTTAATCTAGTAACTCATTTATTAATATCATTTCTTCTTTTATTAAAAATCCCTCTTATTTTCCTTCCATTACAAAATAGCTATCCTTCCTAAAAACAAGAATATTACTCCAAAAAATACATTTCTACTCTATTTTAAATCTATAATCTATCAATCAATCAATATCTATGTAAAACTCTTTTAACCCACTCAGTAAAATTTAAATCCGATCCGAATAATTGTTATATCCACAACAAACATATTAATACAGAAAAAACATCTTCTCACTAAGTTCACATATTTAATTAATCTTTATTCAATCAGGATTTCTAACGCCTTATTTACCAGTCTTGAACCTTGAGTCAATCCGTGTCTAAAAAGCCTTTTAAACCCATTGCATACAATTTTAGGTCACACTCTTAAGTCTTATTCTAGCTTTCTTTTTGTGCCAAGCAGGTTTCCATAACAGAGTAACAAATAAATCTCTCTTTATTCCTCGTGGTATCATTTGAGTCAAGAAAGAGCGTCCTCTCCTCTGTCTTAGGAACCTGACTCCTTTGTAGATAATCCCTTGTTGTTTTAAAAGTTCAAGTCTCGACATTTGAATCTGCTGAGTAAGACACTCAATTATGTCCAATTTTGTGGTTAGTAGTTGGTTATCAAAATTGTCATAATTCTCAATCAGTTGTATTTGCACGTCCATTTCTGTTAGTTTTGAAATTGTGTATGGTTTAGTTAAAGTCATTTTTTGATCATCAGGAGTCTCAATAGGTTGTATATAGAATGACATAGAATCTTCTTTAATGTTGATTAATTCCTCTTCTGTTGTTTTTTGGTCTGTAGAATAGTCAAATGAAGTCTGAAGGTCGGTTTGTAAGTTCAAAGTAGAGTTTCTGTTTTTTTTTTATTTCTGTAGTACTCTCTTTTATTTGCAGACATATTTGCTCAGTGGCTTCATAGATTTTTTCCAATATAAGTTTACAGTTGAGTTGTAAATAGGGTTTCTCCATTTCAGTAGTAACTAGAGACAGTCCTGTTATCTTTTAGTGGAGCCTATATTTAATAACATTTAGCCAGTGTCCATCCCCACAGATTTAACAGCTGTTGAATTTCTTTGTCTTTTCCCTTTTATGATGATCTGAAGGTCAAAACCAATCTCAGTATCAAACAGAAAAAAAATAGTTGCAATTTTAAATTTCTCCACTGTCCTGAGGGGGTCCTCAGTAGACTATAAAATCTCTTCCCAGACATCAAAAATGACATTGACAAAATCAGGAAAAAATAATATTCTTCACATATAAACTAAATCCAGTAATAAAATTCAATAATAAGATTTTTTTCAAGACCCCAAAGTAAATAGAAATAGAAAATAGTCAATTAAAATTAATTTTCATTCCATTTTCAAAGCTTCTCTTCCCACACTAACAAACACCGCTCTCTCAAAGACGGGAAATAGTTCCAAAAATGCTTTTTACAGGAAACAAAAAAGAGAAAAGGGCTAAGAGAGGGGGGGGAAAAGTCTCACCCGGATCAACCACGGTGGTTCTTTATGCTTAGATGTTCTTCTGACTTTCGGTTACAGCAGCAAAGTGATCGGCCATTTTACTGGCCGATCTTTTCTCCGTCGGCCCTAAGGAGCAATCTCGGACCGCGGATGGAGCTGCTGCCCTTCCACAGTCGCCGAGGGCCTCCTCAATGGTAGTCGCCCCTCCAGGGCGACTTTTCGACCCGATTAAGGGTCTACCAGCAGAGGGAAAGCAGCCGGCGAAGAGAGGAGTTTCTCTGAGCGGCTGCACACGCCGCAATCCGGAACTGGAAATCCCCCCATTTAAAATTTTTCACCGCTTTTGACTCCCTTCTTCCCAAGTCTTCCTGGGGTCTTTGCTTTGGAAATTTATCCAATCAGGGGATTTTTATTTGTAAGTCCATATGGAAGAGAAATAAGAAACAGTCTCACCCAGATCTCAGCACGTTGTTGACAATCAGCTGTTCGGTGGCATGCCGCAGCATGCTGCGGTTCTTTGCTTTTTTCCCGGTTGTCTATGACTTGGGCTGCCTGTGCATTTATCAGCAGTCTTTCTTCCGTCCATTTGAAGAGGTTCCTTGGTTTGTTTGGGCCGACTGCTGTTTGCTCCAAGCTCCCAAGGCTTCCCTTCCTGTTCGGTGCCTCTCCAGGGCAACTTTTCAACCCCTTGGGGTCTCCAGATGGAGCAAAATTGGGCTAGGAAACCAGAGTCCTGAATCCTTTTGCCCATCTTGTCATGATACCAAACTGGAAGTTCCTTTTCTCTCATTGTTAACATGTCTCCTTAAAAACTTACATTTTTGAGGTACAGTTCTGAGTTTCTGAGTCTTATCTTCCTTCCTTGGTATGTTCTATATTATTAGCTGGAAAAAAATAGTAACTTCAGGGCATTATTTATCAGAAAAATAGCACAAGGACAAAGTAACTGATTTTTCCTTAATATTCTGGAAACTCTAATTTGGGCTAGTATAGCTAGTTGAATACTTGGGGGGAAAGTATAAAATCTAGTCAGACATATCGTACATTCTAAGTACATTCTACGTTCTACAGAATTGAAGAGTTGCTCAACAAAAAGAATCAATTTTTCATTTGACAATTCTTACATTGTTAATGCATATTGATTGGTTGTAATTATTTCTTGAAATGCTGATTATTTGCTGCTTGAACATTCTAGTGCAAAAATGGATGTTTTTATATGCTTAGATTCCAGAGCACAATATGCAATCAGTTGACTTCAGAAAGTAAAAATACAGAGGCATAATTTATAGTATTTAAAGAAATGTGAAATATTTCCTTGTTTCTCTCTCATTCCCTCTTAAGGATCTTCATCGAACTGGGTGCAGTTCTTATTGTGGCCAAGAGGCAGAACAAGACAGAGTGGTATTGAAAAGAGTGTTGTTGGCTTATGCCAGGTGGAATAAATCCGTAGGATATTGTCAAGGTTTTAACATCCTTGCTGCTCTCATCCTGGAAGTAGTAGAAGGCAATGAGGGAGATGCGTTAAAGGTAAGTATATCTGTTGGCCACATTTTTATTCAGATCATGTTCTGTTGGCTATTAAAAATATCATAGCATAGGAACAAGGTGCCTAAAGACTAAATGAAGATGTATGGATATAAGAATCAGTTATGATGCAATTTATAACTTATGTTTACACAAATAGACCACTGCTTGGATGATAAAGATATCACTTTATCTTGTATCTTTATCCCATTTTTCTGCTTGATTTTCAGATAATGATTTACTTAATCGATAAAGTACTGCCTGATAGCTATTTTGTCAATAATCTGAAAGCACTGTCTGTTGACATGGCAGTGTTCCGAGATCTTCTGAGAATGAAACTTCCCAAGTTGTCCCAGAATTTGGATACTCTCCAAAGAGCTACCAACAAGGAAAGTGGAGGTATGCAATAGCCCTGCAAATATTTCCTCCTTTCTTTTCTTCTTTATCCCTTAGAAATAAATTTTCTTACTCTTAATTTAAAATAAAAATGTAAAAATCTGGGTGAAAACCATAAATGCTGATTAAAATAGAAGGTGTTTGAGATGATATCATTAAATAGGAATCTATGAAAAGATGGGCATGATAAAGGACCAAAATGGCAAGGACCTAACAGAGGCAGAAGAGATTAAGAAGAGGTGGCAAAACTACACAGAAGAATTATACAAGAATGAGCTTAATGCCCCAGATAACCACGATGGGGTTGTCACTGACCTCGAGCCAGACATTCTAGAACAGACAAGTCAAACACAAGGCCCAGGGGCCGGTTGCGGCCTGCAATGTGGTTTCATGTGGCCCGCGAAGCCATCCTGGAAACAGTGAGGGAATGGCTCCCACAGCCTTATCCCCGGCCCAGGCTGCCCGGGAGCCAATGTACAATTTTGTGGTGGCCATCTATGCTGAAACGCATTCAGTCTTAGCTCCACAAGGCCATCTGGAAACAGCAAGGGACCGGCCCCTGCCGCATTGGTCCCGCCCCCTGGCTGCGCGCTGGGGAGGTGTCACCCTTTGTGAGGAATGAAAAAATGCACCATTGCCTGGAAGTGGCCAGCAAATGGCCCTCACCTACTTCACATATCTGGCTTGATGGGCTCTGGGGAAGGGGTTTCAGCAGGCAGTGGGGCGCTCTCCTCACAGCGCCGAGAGGCTGAGCCAGGTGGCATGAATCCAAAAAGAAGTGCGCCGCTGCTCAGACCCCAGCCTGCCTGATTTCAGCATGCAGCAAGGTGCAAAGCTGGCGAGCTTCGCACTGCCCGGCTCAGCCTCTCGGTGTGAGGAGAGCGCCCTGCTGCCTGCCGAAACTGGGCAGGCTGGGGGCTGGGTGGCATTGCGCAGGTAACATCAACTCTCACGTTGCTCCTGGCATCCCCTCCTCCAAAGCCTACCAAGCCAGATATGTGAAGTAGGTGAGGGCCATGTGCTGGCCACTTCCAGGCGATGGTGCATTTCTTCATTCCTCATGAAGGGTGACACCTCCCCAGCTGCATTTCTTGCCTGTTTTTCTCCCTCCCTCATCTCAAATATTTTCCCACCACTCTATTCTAAGGAAGGAAGGAAGGAAGGAAGGAAGGAAGGAAGGAAGGAAGGAAGGAAGGAAAGAAGGAAGGAAGGAAGGAAGGAAGGAAGGAAGGAAGGAAAGAGAGGGTCTGAGGGAAGTCCTGCCTTAGTCCTGCCCTGCTGCCCTTTCACCATCCCCTTGCCTCTCTTCCTGGCCTATCCTGGGGGTCTCCCATCCTATTGCTAAGGAAGCTTTGGATACAAAGCCGCGTCTCCTCCCATGGAGAGGGAGTGGGCCTCCCTCTGACTTTGCCCTCATATTCATCATGAGCAACCTGGCTAAGGAGAGCAAGCACAGCAGCAGCAGCCTTGAGGAGGAGGTAAGTCCAGCTGGGCACCCCCTTGAGGAAGTGGGGCTGGGCTTGGTGTCACGGGTGCTCGAGGGCCAGGCTGGGCATTTGACCTCTGCTGCCCAGGGCTCTGGGAAGCCTGCGGCACCATCCAGCCCTCCCTCGCATGGCCTGAGAGGAACAGACCACTCTTCCAGTGGACCATGCCTTGGTGCTTGCCCCGGTCCTACCCCCTTCTGCCAGAGACCCTCAGATCTGTCTGACTCCTGCCCAGCCCCCCACAGGCACCCTTGATGCAAATGATGTGGAGCTGGCCATGCCGACCCAATAGGCCAGACCCACTACAGCCACGCTGACCCAGTAGGCCACACCTACCCGGCACCCCAAGGACAACCGCAGTGCTGATGCAGCCCTCAATGAAATTGAGTTTGACACCCCTGTCCTAGAAGGTGAAGTGAAATGGGCCTTAGGAAAGCTGAGCAACAACATAGCTAGTGGAGGTGACAGTATTCCAGCTGAGCTATTCAAAATCTTAAAAGACGATGCAGTAAAAGTGCTACACTCAATTTGCCAGCAAATTTGGAAAATTCAACAGTGGCCACAGGATTGGAAAAGGTCAGTTTACATTCCAATGCCAAAGAAAGGCAATGCCAAAGAATGTTCAAACTATCGCACCATTGCATTCATTTCACATGCTAATAAAGTTATGCTTAAAATCCTACAAGCTAGACTTCAGTAGTTTGTGGATCAAGAACTAGCAGAAGTACAGACAGGATTTCGAAGAGGCAGAGGAACTAGAGATCAAATTGCCAACATACGCTGGATCACGGAGAAAGCTAGGGAGTTCCAGAAAAACATCTACTTCTGCTTCATTGACTATGCTAAAGCCTTTGATTGTGTGGATCACAACAAATTGTGGCAAGTTCTTAAAGAGATGGGAGTACCAGACCATCTTATTTGTCTCTTGAGAAACCTATATGCAGATCAAGAAGCAACAGTGAGAAGTGGACACGGAACCAGTGATTGGTTCAAAATTGGGAAAGGAGTCCGGCAAGGCTGTATACTGTCACCCTGTCTATTTAACTTATATGCAGAACACATCATGAGAAAGGCAGTGCTAGATGAATCAAAATTTGGAATTAAGATTGCCGGGAGAAATATCAACAACCTAAGATATGCAGATGATACCACTCTAATGGCAGAAAGTGAAGAGGAATTAAAGAGCCTCTTCATGCGGGTGAAGAAGGAGAGTGCAAAAGTTGGCTTGAAACTCAACATTAAGAAAACCAAGATCATGGCATCCGGCCCTCTCAATTCCTGGCAAATAGATGGGGAAGAAATGGAGGTAGTGACAGATTTTATCTTCCTGGGCTCCAAGATCACCTCAGATGGGGACTGCAGCCAAGAAATTAAAAGATGCTTGCTCCTGGGGAGGAAAGCTATGACAAATCTAGACAGCATACTAAAAAGCAGAGACATCACCCTGCCAACAAAAGTACGTATAGTCAAGGCCATGGTTTTCCCAGTTGCAATGTATGGCTGTGAAAGTTGGACCATAAGAAAGGCTGAGCGCCAAAGAATTGAGGCCTTTGAACTATGGTGCTGGAGAAGACTTCTGCGAGTTCCTTGGACTGCAAGGCGATCAAACCGGTCAGTCCTAGAAGAGATCAACCCTGACTGCTCTTTAGAAGGCCAGATCCTGAAGTTGAAACTCAAATACTTTGGCCACCTAATGAGAAGGAAGGACTCACTGGAGAAGAGCCTAATGGTGGGAAAGATTGAGGGCAATAGAAGAAGGGGACAACAGAGAATGAGATGGCTGGATGGAGTCACTGAAGCAGTAGGCATGAGCTTAAATGGACTCCAGAAGCTGGTAGAGGACAGGAAGACCTGGAGGAACGTTGTCCATGGGGTCGCGATGGGTCAGACACGACTTCGCAACTAACAACAACAACATGAAACCAGATATGCAGATTGACGATATCAGGAATCTTAGGTGATAACTAAAAATCTTGCTTTGATGTATGTGTATGCAACTTAGAAATAGTAGATTGTAGAAACCTTTACTTCTGAATCAGATCTAACAATGTGTCAAACCAATTATAAATAAGTTGGTAGACAAAAAAATTCTAATATAGGAATTACAGATTTGATGAATTCTGCTATTTAAGTATTAACCAGAAAAGTCTTGAGATTTTCTGCATCAGATGTAGGTTTTACATTTTTAAATATTAAAGAGCAGAGCAGAGCCTGTGAATTTTTGACAAGATTATTTTTATCAGGCTTCAAAAATATTTTAATATGGTTTACTTTTATTTTGTGATTCAAGTGGTTTCCTATTGAAGTATCAGTCAGATCTCACCCGGTTTAGCTTTTCTGTGATCAGCTTGATTGCATGCTAAATTTGTTAAAACAAAGTCAATATACTGTATTGTAAATTAAAAAATGGCAGCCCATGAATATGATTATCTACAATATATTAGTGATTGCTTTTAGCTTTTTGAATTTGTAAGAAGTTGAAATTGAACACAATGATATAATTTGGTATCGTACTTCAATTCTGTACTCTATCCATTTTTGTGTTAGGATATGCAGAAGAGACAGCAGGCAGTTATTTTCCTGTCCTTTTTCTGTTTCAGGTGGGTATGAACCCCCACTTACAAATGTCTTCACTATGCAGTGGTTCCTGACCCTGTTTGCTACATGCCTTCCTAACCATTCAGTTTTAAAAATTTGGGATTCTGTATTCTTTGAGGGGTCAGAAATTATACTGAGAGTAGCACTGGCTATTTGGGCAAAACTTGAAGAGTAAGTATATTTTCAGTTTATGTCTAAAAATAAACCATTGATGAATTTTGTGGAAATGCTCTTTGAAATTATTGTTCTGCACCTTCATTTTCTCCTTGTAGCACAAAATTTTGTTTTGTTTTGTTCTATTTCTCTATTTGCAACACCAGTACGATTTCCCTGTTTCAGTGAGGTTATGTTCACTTGCTCATGGAAAAGGCAGTTGTTGGGTTGGGGCCTAAAACCTTTGCCTGAAATTGAATTATTCTGTTCAGTGACTATGATGCTAGATCATAAGTGATGTTTTACTAGGTATATGAGAGATTGTGACATTAAAATGATGGTGATGATTTGTATCTCCTACCAGAAACAAGATGGAGTACATAGTCCAATTTATACATAGTCCAATTGATGTCCACAATAGCCTGGTGAGATTGGCTAGTCTGAGTAACATAAAAAAGGCCAAAAATGATTTAGGAAATTTCATGGCCATAGCATAGGAGAACTTGAATCATTTTTCTTTCAGGCCTTGTTCGACATTTTAATCATCACACAGACTCCTATAACCTGAAGTCTAGCAATCAGATTAGGCAAACATACACAATGAATTAAGTAACTAATTAGCTGAGAAATACAATTCACACAAACAAAAAATGTCTTGATTTTCTCCCAAGTATTTTTTTCCAGCAACATATTTTAGAATGATAAAATTTTCTTGCAGAGATCTCCCTCCAGATCATGATGCTTTGCCTGCTCCTGGTATACTTCTGATTCTCATACTTACAGACCTTTCTATCATCTTCATGGTCACGTAATCAAAAATTGTTCACTTTGCAACTGGCATGTATTTATCATTTGGAGTCATGTGATCATAATTTGTAACCTCAGCTGGCTTCTGATAAGCAAAGTCAATGGTGCAAACCAGATTCACTTAATGACCACATAACTCACTAAACAACTGCAGTGATTCACTTAACAACTGTGGCAAAAAAGGTTATAAAATTGGTTGCAACTCACTTAACAACTACTTTGTTTAGTAATGGAAATTTTGGGCTTAATTGTTATAACTCAACGACTACCTGTAGTCT